ATTTGCGGCATGTTGTTCTGCATACCGTTTGCATAACTCATTTATTTGATATTATTCACTGGGCTTTCGCTCACGCTCATTCATGTGTTTGTAGGTGAGCCAAGAGAAGTCCAAACCCAGCCCCAATAAAGTCTGTGAGGAACAACAAAGGCTTTGAAGAGTCAGCCCTTATGTCTCACGCACGAGACTCGTCTTCACCTTTTTGTCATTCTGTTCATTTTGTCATGTGGGCGAAGTCTTTGAATATGTTGTATATAGTTTTCTTGGGTTGACTTAGACTTATATGATCCTGTGTGTACAGAATCGTGTGTTGTACATATTTTGTTATGAGTTATTAATATGCACATGTATGTTTGTTATGATATGCCATGTAAGCACAGCTCTATGGACAAAGTTTTAAATGGCTTCCGTTTGGCCCCCATTAACTTTGTTAAAATACGTTTGGTTCGGTTTGAGGCCGTAGGCAATCTCATGATTGCTAGCCGGTTATGTCCTTAACCCACGGGGCTGGGTTCGGGTCATGACACATGTAATGCTATGCTCGGTAACCTGAGTGGTTCAAAGCTTCATTGGGTACAGAGACTGTAAGAATACGAAGTATCGATGAAAATAGTTACATATAGAATTATTGCAAATGCGAAAGGTCTGAGTTAATCCCATGCACCCACTGATTGATGGTTAATTAGTTTAGTATCAATCCTTGTTCTCCTATTTGTGTAGAAACCCGGGAACATCTCTTTACAAGACAGAGCTGTTGAAGGATAATGCCATACAGCTTTTATCAACATCAACCCGAAAACATCAATTTCACCTCTTACCTGCACAAAATAAATGTATGTTTTTAGGCGGTAGCTGCATCTATATTTAATGAAGTATCAAGTGAGCATTTGCATTGAACATGGCAATCTCCTAGTGGAGAATAAAGAAGAAGACTAGCATATTTGCAATTACAAACAAACATACAGGAGTTTAGCATGAAGTTCACTAGCTCTAAGTCAAAAGGGTGGCTAATAAAGATCACTTTTTTTTTTCTTTTTTCTTTTTTTTTTTTGGGTTAAGTGGCCAGAAAAGTTATCTTTAAGCCAATCACAACATTATTGCATCATAAAACCTCTACCGCGAAGGAAATTCTCCCAATTAGACACATATTGATTGGACATTCAAATGAAATCTGAAGGGGTTTTATTGATCTCTAGAACAAACAGGCCATACTTTCTGGACTTTAACACCTATAACTAGTAACATAGTTCAAAACAAAAGCGATACAAAAGACAAGGAAATGCCAAAAAGAACCAGGATTAAGGAGATTAGAAAGTGCATATTGTTTACAATCCACCACAGGGCTACTAGTTCACAACTAGTCATCAGGTATGACCTATCTAAGAATTGCAATAATGGGTTTGTGAAGCTCACTTAATAGATGATGTATGGCTTTGCTTGTTGAAAATTTTCAAGTGAAGCACAAGTCAGTGTATTTGCTCAACTAGGTGGAAAAAAAAAAGGGTGATGATACAAAATAGACTAGCCATGAGACTTTCATTTTTACTTCTATCAATAGGTAGTTCTGTGCATTAATCCAAGCTAAAGATATTAAAGTTGGTTTTCTGGAGTGCACATTTGGTTGTAGAGACTGCTTAACTTCAATAACAAATTCATCAAGACACAACACAAGTTCATGCAACTATTATACACTAGAATTTTATTTCAATCTCTACAGAAAAAACAGGTGGTTGTCTAATTTGATGTGCCTTTAATGTAGCTACAATCAAAATGTCATCACCCTTTTTTTTTGCCATTTTCTTCTGTTGTTCTTGTGAAAGTAGGAAATATCATTTGTCACAACTAGAGGACCAAGGAAAGAAAACAAATACCTGAACCTACCCTCTTTCTCCAATGCTACATTCACTATAGGATGTTCTTAAGGACATTACGATTATCTCTTTAAGAATCAAGTGAAAGAAGTCAATTTTCAAAGTCAGTTGTTGGTTGATCAACAGGGTAATCCTGTACGTTTCCTTCTTTCACTTTTCCTTTTTTGGTGGGGACAGGTTGCAAACAGGGGGATTTGAGATCAAATATATTCACAAGGATTATCCTTAAACAGCTATAAACAGGGCATACATTTACAATCTCTTATAGCAACCAGTGGCATGTTGAGATGGGAGAATCCTTAATACTAATTTGTAAACCACTACCAGGACAGAAACCTATGTTTTTCAAGAAATTTTTTCTCCGTTCTTACCAGCACAAAGAGAGAGATCAATTGATGCAACATCTATTGCATGGTTAAACAAGTACGATAGGCTGTGGAAGCCCAACACAAAGTCTAAAGGTCCTATGATCGTCAAGAAGCCTTTTTGGTCCAAAGAGAAGTGTCCATAGTAGTGTTTAATAGTTAAAGGTATTATGGTAATTTCAATATTGTTGGACATGGGTTGTAGGATTGCCCATGGGTTTTATTTTGGGTCAATTTATTAAATGGGTTATTACATATGTGTTTTATTATAAAGAATAATCTTAGTGGTCAAAAATCTAAGTATCCTATTTTGATATTAGAGTAGAATTAGATGTCATAAAAGTTTCCTATTATGATTGAAGTAAAATTGAAAGTCATAGTTGGTCTAGAATATTAGAAGTTGAGAGTCCTTAGCCTATAAATATATGTATAATCTCAATGATTCAATAGAAGAGTTAATATTATGAAAATTTGAGATTGTGTTTGTGTGATTGGCCAATCTCTTGTGAGAGTGAAATATCCCTCTTTCTCTCCAGCAAGGTTATTGTTTAGGTCACTTTTCATAGTGGTTAGAACAGCCACCGAACAGCCCTTAAACACTTGTGTTTTCATTTCCAAAACCTTACCTTTTTTAAACCCTTAAACTCCTGTTTTTTAATACTTTTAATACTTTTTAATGCTTGTCTTCAAGCTATCCGATGGGCAGTGGAACAACGACTATCAAGTGTTTCCATATTCACAGATTGTCAGATTTTGATTTATATCTTCCGGGATGGTTCCTAGCCTGATTGGGTTTTAATGAATATAATGGAAGACATCAAAACTTGTTTTAGCTTGTTTGAATTCTTTGTTGTATCTAAAGTAGATCGAAATGTAATCAGCCCAGCCCATAAGAGGGCTAGACTTGTCAATGGTTTTGTGAAGTAATCTATATATATATATATATATATGTTTTCTGTTGTTCTCAAATATATATATATATATGTACTTTGATTATCAACTGTTGTTTGAGAGCTTTTTCAAGTTCCTCAATCCCTGCCATTAAGCGACTGCACATTTCAGATAAAATATGAGAACCTTCAAGATGGAGACTAACCATGAAAACGTAATTCAATTTTGGAATAAGAAAGAGTAAGTCAGGAGAGAATTAAATAGGAAATTAATCACAATAACTAGTAGGTGATTCAGATAATGCCAACCTTCATAAGCAGCTAATCCCAAAACGTCACTACAAGAAAAAGCACTTTTACCAATGTTTTCTTTTATTCACCAAAAGTTTATTTTTTATAGCTGAAAGTCTTAGCGACGCAAAAAAAATGGTCGCCAAAGCTATTTCACTAGATGATTCGGTGACCAAATAAACTATGGTCACGCTTATAAAGGAATCAGTGACTAAATAATTTAGTCGCCAAATACCAAAAAAATCGTCGCCGTAAAGTAACATATAGTCGCTAAAAATAACCTTAAACAGATGCCATGTTAGATTTTAGCAACCTACAAAAATGTCACTAAACCATCCTTCAGCGACCAAACAAATTAATTGTTGAATGCCAAATCTTTTGGCGACAAATAAAGATTTTGGTTGCTATAAATTCATATCATATTTTACATAGACTTTTAGCAACCGAAACAACTTGTCACCAAAAGTAAATTAACAACTAAAAAACCTCTCATCAAAAATTCATTATTTTTATTTTTTTTACAATTTCCCTGTTCAATTCATAAACCTATAAAAAATAATTCAAACCCAAACTGACTTTTCCTATGCATCATTTTTACACATACATGCAATAAAAAAAAAATTAATATATTGTGCAAAGCATCCAAACTATAAACTTAATTCAAAAGTAGTAGCATATTAAACATAAGTAAAATATCAAATCCATAACATTCAACATAAGTATCCCATATAATCCGAAACTTGAAACATGTACTCAAGGATTCCAAAAAAACTTCCAAGCTACAAAATCCTATGACAAAATATATCCAAAAATTCAAAATATAATCCTCTAATGCTTCCCGAAATAAGTTCCATCCATTGCCAATCTGTCAAACATATGAACAAAATTACAATATTCAAATGCTTGGTCTCAAAACTATGATATACCAAACACAACAACCACCTCTAATGTAGAACCTAAGATAGGTCCATAAGAATGATATGTCTGATATGTCTTCCTAAGATAGGTCCATAAGAATGTAAAACCTCACCAAGTTACTAACAGAATTGAATCAATACAATTGTGTCAGATATTATAGAAGCATCTTTTACAAGAATGCACATTTGAGGCAAAATCAGAAGGCAATATGAAATCAAATGAAATGGGTAATTATAAATGGTGCAAAATCTAAATGCAAAGACCTCCAAAATAATGCTTAATGTTATAACTTAAACCTGATTAATATCAACCAAATAAATGGGGATAAAATACACTGTCGAGCTTATCAAGTAAACATGCTACAAGGTTGGTTGGGTAATGGCTGAAACAGGAGAATATGGACTGATCTATTGGAGTGGTGGGGAATTTGTTGGGCAACACTAGCAAGGGTGGATGGGCTGCTCTTATGGCGGCTGGAGTTTAATTTAGCCAACATTTGTCTCCATTGTGACGTGACAAGGGAGTTATGGAGTTTAATTTTCTCCATTTTTCATGTGGTCCCGGTTTCTGTGGCGAGGGGGATTGAGCAGTTGCAGCGGGACTTTTTGTGGGGTGGTGGGGGTGACGGTGCTCATTATCATCTGCTGTCTTGCTATCGGATTTGTATGCCTAAGGATAAAGGGGGCTTGGGGGTTCGGAGGTTGGTCTTGTTTAATTTGGACTTGTTAGGGAAGTGGCTGTGGCGTTTTGTGGAGAAGAGGGAGCGACTTTGGAGGCGGGTGGTGGTTGCTAAGTTTGGTGTGGGTAGGGGGAGTGGTGCTCAGGACGGGTGGGTCATTCTCATGGTTGTGGGTTGTGGAAAAGGATTTGGCTGGGTCGGGAGGCATTCTGGCGGAGAGTGAGGTTGAAAATTAGCGTGGGGGATAGAGTTTGATTTTGGCGGGGATAGGTGGTGTGGAGAGTGTTGGAAATGGTTTGGAAAATCTGGGTAAAAAACAGATTTTTTCCTAACTTTGGTGTAATATTTAGGTGAGACCGAGTGTCAAATTTGGCGGCTCAAAGTGGTAACGCGTTCTATGCCGCGTTGTGATTCACGTGGTATATTTGGTTGCTCAAAACCATTACCGAGTGAATGGGAATTTGAAGCCAAAGCGTGCTCCATGGAAATGGAGTTTTGGTGGAAATTCCTTAAGGTTGTAAAATGGCTTGTCCCATATTAATTTGGTGGGAAGTTTTAAATGGGTTTATAAGGCATGGAATTGGTACTTGGGGTGTGCCCCAAGGGGTACCCAAGTTTTGTAGAGGGAAAGGGTATGGGCAAAATGGGCTACACCCACTGGACCTAAAAATCACCACACGCGCGTGCCGTCGTCCGTCCGGTCGGACGTGGGTGCGTGGTTGGGTTGGGCTTGTCCGGCCAAAAATATTTGAATTTAATTTTATTTTTCAGTAAAATAAAATCCAGAATTCAAATTAAACCGGAAATAAACTGGTCCGATTTTTTCTATACACCCAAACAGGTCCCTTCCGTTTTTTTGAACCCAACAGATTTAAATCTATTTAAATTCAAAACCGGACAGTTTTCAACCTGTCCAAACAGTGCCTATCTATTTAAATTGAACAGGTTTGCACCTGTTTAATTCAAAACCTGCAGCCACCAATCCATCTATAAATAGGGCAGCCCTCATTTGATGTTAGATTTTAAAAAAAAAATTCGTACTTCACCTCTGCAAATTTGATCTTCATTTTGTTGCATTTTATTTTTTGTGAGAAAGAGTATAAATACTTAGTGTGTTCATTAGGCAAACAATTTGCAGTGCTGCTATTGTTTGTAGTCGATCATTTCATCCTGGGAGATAGACGTCCACATTCTGAAAGCACCGTGGAGAGGACGAATATGTCTTAAGGACACAGTGTCAAACACTGGACTTGATCAGATAATTATTCAAAGAAATTAATCAAGTAAGTTGTTTAATTTATTATTTTCTGTTTTATTATTATTTATTTAAATCAGATTTTAATTTTATTTTGGTAACAAAATAAAATCTATTTTTATTTATTTAATTCTATTTCTAGTTTGATTTTTGTAATCAAACATTTTTCTCTCATTTTCTTTATTTCTTTTGTTTTCTGTTTGTTGTTAAGCACACAAACAAAATTAATCTATTTAAATACAGTGAAGATTGTCCAACAGAGAGTTGTCTTTAGAGTTTCGATTCCCTCTGGTCTTTGCTATTGCTACTAATTCTAAGGTGTTGGTGGGTGTTGTGAGGGTTGAGCAGAGGCAGTTGATGGTGTGGAATGTGCAGTTGCGTCGTGATGTTCAAGATTGGGAGCTAGATCAGTTGGTGGACCTCCTTAGCTTTTTATATGGTTTGCATCTTGGATGGACGGATCAAGATTCCTTGGTTTGGGATTGTCCTAGAGCCAAAGGTATTTTTATTGTGTCTTCATTCTATGGGGCGCTTGTTCAGGATAAGTATGTTTTTGACGTCACCATGGTTTATCTGTGGAAAAGTGTTTGGGTGCCGGGCACGCCGTCCAAGGTTGCCTTCTTTGTGTGGACAGTGAGTTTAGGTCGTATCTTGACCATTGATAATTTGATTTGTCGTGGGCATATTTTGGTGAATTGGTGCTGCTTGTGCGGTCGGCCAGCGGAATCGGTTGACCATTTGCTTATTCATTGTTCGGTCTCTTCTCGTCTTTGGATGCTTGTGGTTGCAATTTTTGAGATGGTTTGGGTTCAATCGAGTTCTGTGTTCGCAATTTTGAAAAGTTGGGTAGGGGGGAGGGTGGGGAGAAGGCGTCGAAAGGCTTGGATTCTTGCTTTGCACTGTTTACTGTGGTTGATTTGGCTAGAACGAAATAGGCAGGTGTTTCACGGGGTGGCTCATTCCATCCCTTGGTTAGAGAGACGACTTCTTACTGTCTTGTATAGTTGGGTGACAGGTTTAATAGATCCAGATGTGTTGGCTTTTACAGATTTTGTGAAGAATTTGATTTGTTAGTTTCGTTGGGCTCTTGAAGCCGTTTTTATATTCTTTGCATCATCTTGATACTTTATTTATAAAGTTTGGTTATTTATTAACAAAAAAAAAAAAAAATCTCCATTTTTCACATTCTTTGGGTTTAGCCAACCTTTGTCTACATGTTATATTAGTGTCAAACAAATGGGTATCATTCAATGAGGGCGCAAAAGGCTTGGTTGGTGGCACCTATGTGCTTGATGTGGAGTTTATGGAGAAAAGGAATCAACATACTTTAGAGTATATAAATATGACAATACATAGATTGAAGATATCTTTACTTCATAACTTTCATTTTTGAAATAAAAGAAATTTTTGTGAATCTTCTTTTTTCTAACCACAAGTCAAAAGCCATTTATTCTTTTAACATTTCTCAAATATCAAATATATTCCAATATTCTAAAAGCACTGCTAAATTGCCAACCACATGAAAAGAATACATGTCACCTCAAAGAGAATTAAGGGAGAGAAAGAGAGTTTATAACAAAAATTCACTACGTTGTGACATCATAATTCAAAAAATAGATTCCTAAAATAAAACCAAATCTGTAGTGTTTTTGTTTATTAATGTTGAAGAGAATCTCAATTTTTTTTAATGACAATACTAAACACAGTCCAAGGTTGATATAAGTATAAAAAATATTAAAATATATAAAAACCAACCAACAAGAGCCAAACAAAACCAAGCACAAGGCCAAAAAGTAGCACTGCAACACCTAACAACCAACAAAACAAAAAATAGGAAGAAAAAAAAAACACCAAACAACCCTCCAACTGAATATGACAATGCAATGTCCGTATACGAATATCATTAACTAATTGCCCATTGAAAATAAACTGCCAACGTAATTACACTAACGCAGTGACACAAACCATTATGCTCACAGTTAAACGATGACAAACCATTGTCCCCAAAATACACCGCCCTACAATGTAACATTACAATTATATAGTAGCCGAACGTGTATAACAAAATACATTCAAACATGACCTACTACAATGATTATTAACAATAATAACAAACATGTAACTACACCCCGCACAAAATAAGGACGATGTCATTAATTATTTTCCCAACCAAACACACCATACCAACGCAACCAACTGACAACTTAACACTACACATTGTACTCCCATTCAGACAACTATAACCACATCAAGTCCGTCTCCCACAAAAAATCCAAAATAGCTACGTATTTTAATGCGTAAGTAGGAAGCGAACATATATAACAATGTACATTCAAACATGCTTTGTTATCATTTTCATTCACATTACCATAATCATTACCACATTACTACATTGTTTTACAAAATAAAATTCCACACATAGACTTAGCAACAACCAAAAAAAAAAAAAAAAAAACAGCACCAAGTACACTGACCAACCCACAATTCAAATCAAAACGCTGACCACATAAGAACATAGACCTACGAAACATTGTACACACCATCACACACCGACAACCACATCGAAACTCACCTACACAATTCCTTGATTGCCAAGGTAACTTAACACTTAAATAAGATGTGAACATATATAAAATGTATATTCAAACATGTTCTACTATCATTGTCTTTAACATTAATTACAAACATGTATTAGACGCGGTCCAAAAACAGGGGTTCATAAACCACACGGAACCACAACCGATAGAACCCAGTCAGGCACAATGAACACAGAACAACATGAGATAACTTTTTCGATTTACGAACCTTTGTGCTCACTAACATCACTCATATATTAGTAAAAGAGACAACACCATCAACACCAAAACACCTAACTCAACTACAAACACATGCCAAAGACCCTACACAGGGGACCCTAAATCACATTTTGAACAAAACCTCAAAATCAACTCAACCAACTCATACATCACAAACACCACGACTCAACTACCCTAACTACAGATAATCCTCAATGGATTACTCACACTAATACATACAGTTACATTACATTCCCACATTACCATTACGATCATGATAATGTCCACCACACCACATACCCTCCATACATTAGATTCCCACACTACCATTACACATACCACCATTTAATCGACTACCTAACATCACATTAACGAAATCAAAAATAGGATCATCGATGCAACATTGGAATCGAAATAAAAAGCCTTCCATTTTGAATTTTCCGTTAACATCGTGCAAGAGGGAAATAAAAAAAAAACACTATAATACGGTTTTGCCCATTTTCGTAAATTCCATGTCATGAAAAACCCACAAATAACCTTACAATTGGTAACCCACGCGCTGAAATTGAGGGCTACAATGACTTTAACATTGAAACGGGAGCTCTCAGTCTACAAAATAAAAGATAGGACTAAATGGTTCAAGATATCTTGATTTGGGATTTAATGGTGCTTTACCCAAAATTCTATTAAAATTTTTATCAAATGTTTCATATAGGTGTGAAACCCACACAATATGGATCCCATGTGAGTCTCATATATATGTAAGACATTTAATAGAATTTTTGGTAAAATTTTTAGAATTTCTAACATTTTTGGTAAAATAGCTTTGGATTTAAAATTAAAATTAAACTATCATGCATTAGAACCAATAATAAATAGGAAAAAGGTTGGGACTCCCTTTTTGGGAACTCTCACCACCCCCAATGCATTGTGATTGATCAATTTTTTATTTTTTTTTCCTCCTATCTTTGGTTGACATGTGTTTGTGGAGAGTTGTGGGGGTAAAAAAAAATGAGGTTTGTATCATTTCTGTAATAAATAATTAAAATGAACAGATTTTTATTTAAATATAATAGTACAAATAGTGAGTAAAATATTATTTAATATACGTCCATACAAATTAAATCAATTATGAAATCTAATTTAAACTTTTAGTACTTCTCTCACTCAATAATTCTTGTATAATGAAAATTATTAGGTGTAATAAAGTCTATTAGGTAATGATAAGTTAATATATATAAATTGGTTCGGTTCTTGAGGTGGTTTGATTTAGAAATCCTATGGATTTGATGATTTGATAAGTTAATATATATAAATTGGTTCGGTTCTTGAGGTGGTTTGATTTAGAAATCCTATCGATTTGATGATTTGAAGACCTGAAACTAAGTCAATGTACTCAAAAACCAATCTAACCAAATCTAAAGAAATTTGTTCAGTTTGAGTTTTCAATTCGCTGAGTAATTTAAACACCATTAATTAATAGTTATTCTTTCATCTTATATCCCAAATGGTGTTATTTCAATTATAGTGGTTTTGGTAATAGTGATTATTGTTTAATAATTAAAAAAATTGATACGTCTAGTGATTTCTTTATTTTTTAATTTTTTTTATTTATTTAGAAAGAGTTTTATGAATGTTTTGAAGCTTTTAATCTTGGTGAAGAGTTAAATATATAATCTTAATAATGTTATGAAACCCTATTACCATGTCTATATTAGCATTATAGCATAACTAAATGGAACGTGCTAGAATTATTCAAAGCATGGAAATTAAATTATCTTTTAGTAATTTTGTTGATATTCCTAAAAATAAATTGATTTTTATGGAGAAATATTTTTAGCAAAATCAAATAAGATTTTTACTTTTAAGTTTTTTCATAAAAAAATATGTTCATTTCATTACACTCTATTGCTAAAAGTAAGTACACATGATATGTAATTTTATTTATTTATTTATTTATTTATTTATTTATTTTTTTTTGCAATTATGCTTTAAAAAAAAAAAAAAAAAAAAAAAAAATACATACCATATATACATCTACGTTCAGTGATTTGGTTAAAAAAAATTAACATAAATTATTGATTATAATCATATTGGGTCATAATCAGTATTACTTTGGATTTACCCAAGAACCATTTAGTCATATCTATAGCTCTCCCACAAATGAGCAATAAGTAATACCACTTTAAGATATAACCAAAAACTACAAGTTCCAACCAACTTTGATTTGATAATATGCAAGCTCCACCACCACAGTGGCCCATAACCAAAAACTAACACCACAATAATTCATAACCAACACCAATTTTGATCATACCAATACCTTGTTTAAGAGCAATGAAGAACTGATAAACAATATATAGTGGACTTAAAATTAATTGGAAAAAGACTAGCTCAACAGATAGTTTCAAATGTAGGCACTGACAACAACTAGCCACTATATTAGCAAGCACTGAAAACCTAAATAGTCATGTAAATGAGCCATGTCGGATTTAATATTTACTTGAAATATTGTGTGTAGCTTTATGATATTCCATTTGTGGTGTCAAGGAAGCGCCCCAAAGCAGGGTGGGGGTTGCATATTGAGGGTAGGTAGCAAGCCAAGACAAGCTTCCCCGGTATGGAACTCTTTAATTACTGTTTCTCAACTTGCAAGTTAAACTGATCTTTCCAATTAAAGCAACTCCTGAGCTTCATCAGCAGTAGGCTTCAATTCTTGTACAACTTTGCTCCTGAAAATGCTTCTAGCTTTCTTGGTAGATATGCCTCAGAAATTTGCTTTCTCACCATGTGTATCAGAGGACAAGGGCTAAACAATATAAATCAAAATTGACATTCTCTTAAAACAACCAATGATTTGCTGAGATGGGAGAATCCTTCAAATAAAGACAACCGCCTTCGCTTTTCTTGAAATTTCTTCTCTGTGCACTTGCCAAGAGAGAGAGACGGAATACTAAGGTTTACCAAATTTCATCATATAGAGGACAAATGGGAGGAAGGGAGCAAATAGTAGAACCACTGCAACAAACAAGAAAGAGGAATATGTGACAGATATAAGCAAAACAATAAACAATGATAAAGAATACAAGGGGAGCAAAGGAGGTAAACTAGTGCAATACATAAGAGAATGGGTGACAAGTGCAATCTCTGCAATGTTCTTTGCTGAATAGTAATTCCAGGCAGTTAATTATGATAAGATAATTCAACAGTGAAACATAGTTATATAACAAAAGTTAACAGGAAATGAGATAGAAAATAGGCATTCTAATAATAAACATTCTACTGTGTAGTCCAGCCCTCAACTTCTCACATTGGTAGTACTACTAGCGGATAATTACCTTCTTTACACTATTGTAGCAAAAAATTCTGCTATGACAAAAACTTCAATCTCATAAGCTTTTTAATCAACATAATAAAAGATATGGATGAAGAGAAAAGAGATAATAGACTTAAATAGTGCATCTCACAATTGGTTGAATGGTGGGCAACCGTTTTAGAAAGCTTTTGGTTGTGTTTTGTTTGGTTTTGAAATCAATTTTGAAGGATAAGTTTTGAAAAAAAGTTTTCAAAATTTGAAAATTTGTTTGGTTGTATATTTTGAAAATAGTTTTTACAAAATTGGAGTTTTGTAGTTTGGGATGATTTGTGTTTTTTTGTAATTGAATAAATAGGTGTGAGAGAAAAAGTGATTGATTGATGTGTAGGATGTGAGAGAATGAGAGACGAGAGAAAAAAATCATTGATTTAAGTGTAGGATATGGTTTCATTATCCTAAAGATAAAAGAAAGTCTGTATAAATTTGAGGATAAAACGGAGTTGGGATAGGATTAGATTCAAATGTGATAAGCTGCTAAGCTTATTGCCATTAAGCTGCTGGAAAATCAGGAAAACAAATTAAATAACAGGACAACAAATAGCGAAAATGTTGGGGTTCATTAGGACTAGGTAGTGTAGTCGGTAGGGTTTTGCCAACGAACAATAACTATTTTGGGACAAAACAATAACCTGAGAATACTAACTCATCCTCAGTTTTCTCTCTTTTTTTTGGGTTTTTGTTTTTTTGTTTTTTTTTTTCATGTGGTTTTTAATTGCTAGGGCCATATTTTTGTTAAGGATTAGGCTTATGAGAATAAGATTCCAAGGTTGGAAAGAGTTGATTAGAGCAAGAAAGAGTATGAGGAAGAAATAGCGAACAACATAGAAATCTTGATTAGTGTCCTTGTGCTTCATCCTCTTAGGAGTTGAGTTCCACCAAACAAAAGTAATCTCAAATTCCCTTGAATCCACACATCATTTAATAAGCTCATATGTACATATATCTGCTGGACTTCTCTTATTAGTTATTAGCCCCCCAAGAGTAGAAACTAGGAATCTTAGACACTTTGACCAGACCAAATAACAGATCATTTTATAAGAATTAATAACATTAACTTACAAAAGGAGACCTATGGACCATAATTAAACCATGTCCGAAAAATGAAAAACTATCAAAGCATCCTTGGCTTCCAAAAAAAAGACTGAAAAAAAAAAAAAAAACTATAATTAAACATAAACTAGGACTTTAGTTCTTGGAGTGCATAGAAAGGGGTACTTCATATTATTTTTTGATTGAAAACTTCAAAATTTTATAAAATATAATGTCAAACTCCATGAGCAGCAGTGACCACTTCCCGGCTACGTGTCCTTTGGAGCCTTCTTGATCTTCTTAGATTAGAGTTATACTCTTAGTACTATTATTGGCCCAGAGCCGAGAAAAAGAGATAAAATTACAAAACAAGAAAAAAGAGTAAAACAAAAACAAAATCACATAACTCTCCAGTCTCCAGAAATTAAAAGCAGAGGAATCCCCTTAAAAGGGAGATATCATTAAAGCCTAAAAAGAGGACAAATAACAAATCCTATCCTATCCTATATATATAAATATATATATATATATATATCTTCCTAGATGTGAAGATTATGAAAATAAATGCATATCAAGGCCTTAAAGTTTTAATCTTCTACTAATGACCAATGGTCTACTTTTTCAAAAGCACTGGTTGAAGCTTAAGTCTCAATTACAAAAGGGTTTGAACCTCCTTAAGATATCAGGAGAAAAAGTCGACCAACATGAAACAGTTGAGAATCTTGCAGAAACAGGACACGGAAAAAAAAGGGGGTACTAGAGTTCACAAAATTCCATCATATGGAGGAAAGGAAGAAGGAATTGAACGTACAATGACACGGAATGCATCAATTTTAATGTCACTAGAGGTTATGCTCGAAATATTAGTCATATCAGATTTGTATTACAGTTAACTAAGCAAAAGAGGAAACCAAAGAGAAATATAAGAGTCGAGGTACATATGTTTTTATTTTTTATTTTTTATCAGAGCCGAAGGAAATATGTTTGATCACTACTTACCTTTGGAAGTAAACAAATGCTAAAGGCTACAAAATGTAATATTCAGAAGTTAAAGATCACACTACAGTGACAAGAAAAAGGGAAAAACAAAAGAGTTTCACTTAAGAATAGACTATATGGTTCAATATAAATGTAGTTTTACCTTCACAGCTTGAGAAATTTACTCATTCTCTTGCATTCCATGACTATCTTTTGGCATGAACTTCTTTATCACTTCTTGAAGAGCAAGATCTTGTCCTTTAGTTGAGAGTATATCTATGATCAAGGGAAAAGTGGATGCATCTGCTGAAAAACCCCTTTAAACCATTTCCTCAACTAGTATTAATGCCTCATAGCACTTGTGTTGTCCAATAAATCCTCGGTTAATAATGTTGTAAGTGACACCATCTGCCAAGCAACCACTTTGTTCCATTTTAACAAACAACTCCTTAGCTTCATGTAATAGGCCTTCTTCACAAAGACCGTGTATCATCATATTGTATGTCTTAACATTAGGATGTAATCCCTTGGAAGAAAGGTTATTGAAAAGGGCCCTTGTAGTATCAAACTTTTTATCCTTGCAGAATGTATCAATGAGAATACTGTACATAACAACATCAAGATCTAAACCGTTCCTTTCCATCAGAAATATGCCCATTTTGCACAACCCATCCAATAAGATACCATAAGTTTGAGAATTTGGAATTATGCCTACAACTTGCATCTCATTAAAAAGTTCCTGAGCAGCTCCACATGTACTTGATCGAAACAAACCTTGTAACATAGTGTTAAAAGTTCTGCTGTTGTGTTTCAACCCCCTCCGAGGCATTTCTCGAAAGAGATGCATGGCCTCATCTATTTTCATCTTCTTGCAATATCCGTTGATTAGAATGTTATAGCTAACAACATTAGGGTGGAGGCCCCTATCCACTATGGTATTGAACACTCTGATTGCTTCATCCATGTAGCCTTGCAAACAATATCCATCCATTAGAGTACTGTATGTGATTACATTAGGATCCACACCTCTTTGTATCATGACTTTAAGTACCCCTCTGCCTCCTTTGCCTTCCCTTCCTTGGTAAGTGCATCCACGATCGCATTAAATGTAGGAACATTTTGAGAAATACTGGCATCCAACATTTTTCTTAACATTTTGGTAGCCTCCTTTCACCTTCCAAAATTACGTAGGCCATGAATCAAAGAGGTAAGTGACAACATCTCGACGAATGCCTGGTTCATTCATCTTAGAAAAGAGTTTCAGAGCATCATCCACCATTCTATCCTTGCAAAGACTATCAATGATTGAGTTACACACTACGGTGTCAGGTTTATAACTCCCCTGTTCCATTATCCTAAGCAAACTAACAGCCCTGATAGTGTTTCCAGTTCTGCAAAGCCCATTAATAATGGTTCCATACATAACCACGTTGGGTTCAATTTCTCTACTGGTTATTAATTTCTTAAATAACTCCACACCATCAGGGGTTTTATCTTCCAAAATAAGTCCATTTATCAGAGTGTTGAAGGTAGCTACAGTCGGTGTAAAACCGCGTTTGAAGAGGCAACCAAAAAGAGAGAATTCAAAATGGACTCAATTAAGGCGGCAGCAACAGTAAATAGCAATGTTGAAGGTGTAGATATCGACCAGGATGCCTTGGAACTGTTGCAACTTGTTCAGAATAAGAGAAAGAGCAGTGGCGTAATGACCCATTTTCGTAATAGTCCCTAAAGCTTTGTTGAAGTCAGAAACGGGGGGGGGCAAAGGTCGCATTTGGACCATGCGATTAAACAAATTAACAGCATCGTCGAAATTCGAATTGCATTGATGTGTGGTTACAGTTTTAGAAAGCTTGACTGGTTGATTCGTAATTACAGGAGGAGGATGAGCAGAAAAAGTAGGTCTTGTAAAAATGGTAGAGAGAGAACGAAGCAAAAGAAATGAGGAGACAAGTGGTGGCGTACCTTTCAATAGCCAATTATAAGATATTTCTCCTCCAATAATCTCAGATGCATCAATTTTTGACATCTCCTCCTCCTTCTTCAACCTCTGTGTCTCTGGGTGTGAGAGGGAGAATGAGAAAGAGAGAGATAGAGAGAGTCCTTTGTAACCAAACGCTTGGTGACTTTTTTTTTCTTTTTTCTTTTTTCACTTTTATTTTAAATTATTATTGTTATTATTATTTTAACAAAAATGTTAGATATTTCAAAAGTTTTATCAAAATTTTTATTAAATGTCTCTCATACCCATATAAGATATTTGGTAGAATTTTTAGACCTCTAATATTACTCTTATTTGAAAGGTGAAGCACTAATAAATCACACACTAGAACTATTTAATATTTTCTCTTATTTTTCTTATGAATATAAAAGTTCATTAAAATATAAATTCTTTTAATGTATTTAATTCTCTCTTTTTCTTATGAATATAAAGACCCATTAAAGTATAAATTACACAAAAGCTAGTCATTTACACATTTAGATTTAATTTTTAAGAGATAAAAGTAGGTTTATCGAAATGTGAAATTACATACTCTGGACAATTCGTACAATAAAGGTTTTGTAATTTCCTTTTGATTAAATTCTACATTACGAATAAAAACATAACAATTCAATATAATACATTAAAAAAAAATTTAGTGTACTTTTTGCAAACGTAACAATATAATACTCCAATGTAACACATAAAAAAAATTTCTTAGTATACTTTTTTCAAACGTAACAACATAACACTCTAATGTAATACATAAAAAAACTTTTTAGTGTACTTTTTCAAAATGTAACACTCTAATCAATGTAATTTCAAATGTAACGCTCTCTAACGTAACACACACAAAAAACTAAAAACTCTTTAGTGTACTTTTTCTAAATGTAATACTCATAGATTGAAATTATACATTTGGCCAAAATTTAGTAAGGAATTTTTATACTCCTTTTAGAATGGTTTGAAAAATCTCACATCATTTTAGAATAGTTTAAAAAATTCCACATCTTTTTTGGAGTGTTATGTTTGAAAAAAGTACACTAAGAATTTTTTTATGTGTTACATTAGAGTGTTACGGTAAAGAGTTTTTTGGAGTGTTATATTGGAGATACGTTTGAGAAAAGTACACTAAAGAGTTTTTTTGAAGTATTACATTGAAGTGTTATGTTTGAGTGTTATATTGAAATGTTATAGTTTAAAATTATATATTTGTCTAAAATTTACTAAAAATTTTTTGTATTCTTTTAAAATGCTTGAAGAATCTCACATCTTTTTAAAATATTTGAAAAATCTCACATTTCAAGTCATTTTTGTACTAATTTGAAATATTTTCTGAATAAAAAAAAATTCTCATATAAAAATTCATCCCAAATTTGATTCTTATAGATTGTGTATATTACCTTTCTAGCAACAAAATATATATATATATATATATATATAAATATGGGTATAATCGTAAATCATATTTCTAAATAATATATTAAATCTGCATTTCCAAAATCAAAAATGCTAGTTGGTCTATAAAAAAAATTCTTGGGATTAAACGAATCACCATTTCTCAAGATGAGATTTATAGGTAAATTTTTCTTATTTTAAAGGTAAAATATTTGGGGAGATTTATTAGAAAATCCTTTTTTAAATGTTTATATCCCAATTAGTTCATAACATATTCTTGTATTCCAATAAGTCCTATTATTTGAACATTTGATCTACCAAATCCTAATTCTCATATTTAAAATATTTTATAGACATTTTTACCCTTACAAATATTTTTTAAACGGTTAGTAATTTGGTAATGCGAACATTCATATTTTACAATGTGAATATTCACATTGACGTGTGAATGTTCACATTGATAATATGAACATTCTCATTGACAGTGTGGATATTCACATCACAGAACATTCACACTGTAAATGTGAATATTATTAGAGGTATTTTGGTAACTATATCACTCATAAGACTTATTGGAATATAAGAAAATAATGTGAACTAAATGGAATATAAATAGGTTAAAATGGATTTATGAAAAAGTGTCCCAAATATTTGCAAAAAAAACTATTTAAAAAATTTAACAAATATACAAAAATATGAAAGCGTGTTATATTTTTTGTATTTGATGAAATTTTTTAAAGATTTTTTTATAAATATTATATTTTTTTAAATGTATCTATGTAAATCTGAAAAATAAAAAATTTACTTTGTATTAAAAAAAATCACTACAAAATTAATTAAAAAAAAGTATATAAAAAAAATCATTTTTATAAAGGAAGAATTCCTGGTTAGTAGAATCAAAAAAGTTATTTACAAAAAGGTAAAAAAGTCATTAAACTAAATGGAAAATGGTATTTTAGATATTTTATATATATTTATATTGAGTTTAAAGACTAAAATATTATTTTTCTATCGGTCTTGCTTAACAAAAAATAGACAAATGTTTAAATTGAAGACAAGTCAAAATATTAGAATTTAAATAGACAAAATTAAAAACTCAATTTATTTTGTAAAATGACTCAAATCTTGAGATTTTTTTTTTGTCTTAATAACTTGCTTGCTCCGCCACCATAATACCCCGTAATCACTTTAAAATATAATCAAACACCATAACAACTATTAACCAATTTTATTTTAATAATTTACTTGCTCTACCACCATAATACCCCCATAACCTAGCAATGCAATAGTTTAAAATCAATACCAATTTTTATTATAACTTGCATGTGGTATGTATGACAAGTATTATAGTGTGGCCTTTTCAAATATTGTGTTTAGATCATAAATTTAACTTGAGATTTGAAAAGGAGTTAAGAAATGAAAGAAAAACTTAATTTATATTTCTTTCACAATTTTTCACCGTCACATTTTCTTTTTTTCTTTCCAAATCATTGTTTAAATCTATTATCCACACATAGCGCAAGTAATGCAGACAATTTGCATCCATCAACCCCACATCCCTAGAAATAAAAATTGCATGTTTTTTGGTTTTTCTCCATAGAGGACGTAAAAAGCTTCAGTTACCAATTTAATTATCAAACTGACCACAAATTTTATAAAAGAAAATTCTTATATAACATTCAGTAACTCCATCAATCATTCATTAAAAATAAGAGGGAAAAAAAAAATCTCCAGCAAGCATTTGATATCATAATTTGGTACAACGATATACAAACATGTAATGCTATGCCAAATAAGCAGATTGGTTAAAAGTTTCAATCGTACAAAGACTTCTAAGGGAAATAGTAACATATAGAATCAAAGCAAATGCAAAAGGTCTGAGTTCGGTCTGCTTAGGACTTCAACTTCATGCTGAGTTTGTCGCTGAGTATATTTCACAGGCCCTTAAAAACTCACCTCATATGTTGTGCGATCAAAAAGATAGGATTCCTCCACACACGCTCTAACCTTGTTCTCATTTTTCTTTACAAGACGGACCAGTTGAAAGACATTGCCACAAAGCTTTTATCAACATCAACCCAGAAACATCAACCTTACCTGTCCTTACCTGCACAAAATCAATATATATATTCAGGCGGTAGCTACATCAATATTTCAAGAACCATCAAGTGAGAATTTGCATTGAAAACATGCCAATCTCCTAGAGGGGAATGAAGAAGAAGACTAATATTTGCAATTCTAAATAAACATATAGGAGCCTAGCGCTGAGTCAAAGCCAATAGAGATCACATTTTTCTTTGACTAGACATTCATCTAGAACATAATGGCAATGAAATCTGGTGTTCTATACCTACAACTAGTAACTAGTTCAAACTGAAAGCAATGCAAAAGGGGAATGCCAAAAACAACCAGGATTAAGGACATCATAAAGTGCATATTGTTTATAATCCACCATAGCGCCACAACTAGCCCACAGGTTGGCCTCCTACAATTGAGCAGCCACTATCCACTTTGATAGTACTTGTGCCTTGATAATCCATTTCCACTCTAGCTATGTCACAGTTCCATATTAGTATCTTTGGTATAGTGGCTGATATTGAACTGTGCCATAGCTAGAGTGGAAGTGAATTATCAAGGCACAAGTACTAACATTAATGTGTGTTTTGGAGAGGAAAGATTGGGTATACACCTAATCTTTGGTATAGTGTACAAAGTGGTTGCCCTGTGACTTAAACCATAACCTCAAAGTTATTAAGCCAATGTTTTACCATTGAATCAATGGTGACCACTCAATTTTTTTGGTAGATCTACACAACAAAAATTGATGAGGGTAACTGAAGCTTTACAGAACATTTGTATTTTTGAAAAGAGATTTCATTAGCTGGCTACATCATTCTTCCAACGATATTCCATTAACAACTTTCTTTATAGCAAAGACTAGAAAACTTCTGACAACAAAGACAAAATTTATATCTACCATGACATATATACCTTAACCCAGCATGACTTGACACAGTATGCTTCAACTATGTAGTTTCAAGATCCCAATTGCACAATCATACATACAAGTAACAAACATGTCACACAAAAGAAGCAATTCAACAGCAGAGCCTTCATTAATTCATACACTTTCATGCATTTGATTTTATCCCAGAGAGAGAGAGAGAGAGAGAGAGAGAGGAGAAAAGGAAGGAAGGTAGCAAATAGTAGAAGCACTGCAACAGACAAGAAAGAGAAATATGTGATAGCTACAAGTAAAACAATAAACAATGCAATAGAATACAAGGGGAGCAAATGATGTAAACTAGTGCAATCCAAAAGGGAAGAGAATGGGTGACAAGTGCAGCCTATGCAATGTTCTTTGCTGAATAGTTATTCTAGGTAGTTAATGCCAAGAAGATGAGTCAACAATGAAACATAGTTTTATCACAAAAGCTAACAGGAAATGAAATAGAAAATTCGCATTCTAATAATAAATATTCTACTATGTAATCCAGCCCCTCTACCTCCCGCATTGGTAGTACTACCGGTGGATAATTACCTTCTTTACACTATGATAAAAATTTCAGTCACATAAGTTTTTAAATCAACATAATAAAAGAAGACATGGATGAAGAGAAGAGATAACAGACTTGAAGTAGTGCATCTCACAAATGGTTGAATGGAGGGCAACGGTTTCAGAAATCTTTTAGGTTTAGGGTTTCTAAAATATGGAAGGAAGAGGTTGGAAT